ATTTTTTTTTAGTATTTATTTTTTAGTTATAGTTGGACACAATATGTTTACTTATTTATATGTGGTGCTGAGAATCGAACCCAGGGCCTCACACATGCTAAGCAATTGCTATACCACTGAGCCACAATCCCAGCCCTCCTGTTCCTCATTTTTAACTCACAATTAACTTGAGAATACTTAAAAGCCCTCATCAAATCCCAAGTTAACACTAATCTAGAAGGAAACAACTGCACAAACACCTCTTGGAGGGGACTTAGCTTTTCAAAAGATCATGAAAAAAAAATTACATATATTTTATAAAATTATATATATTTTATAAAAGCAACCATGGATCTACTTTTAAAAAAAGTAATGCATACTTGAATACATTACTGTGAATTAGACAACTTCTGAAGAAATGGCTATAAATCTAGCTATATATTCTAAAAGCAATTGACAGCAAACTGTGGCCACAAGCAATGGGGAGGGACAAGGAGGTAAAGGGATCAGGAGATTCTATCATGAGGACAGTAACTGAACTGGAGGACATTAAACCAGAAGAAGTAGTGATTAAGTGGGGACATTATCATAGTGTTCACACATTTGAAGGACTCTTTCAAGACATTTCATTCTACAAATGTGTTTTTGAGCATCTGCTATGTGCCAGGCACTATGCCAGGAGCTAAGGACATGGAGAGTAAAAATCAGAACTGCTCTTTGATTTTCTGATGTTTCCTGCCCAGTGGAAGAAATCTGTCTGTTGTTCCAGAAAACAGAACTACGGCCAATGGCCAGTGAGCAGACAGACATGGGCAACATACAAGGAAGCCTCTTCTGCCCAGAGGACTACAGCTTTGTACCAGAGTTAACAGATAGTGTTGCCTAGGCTTCCTAGAGCTGGGAAGGATGGGTTAAGAGAGGGAACTAGCAGGACAATGCAAATACTACAGGATTAGAGAATAATTAGGACCAATATCATTAATATAAGATTTGTTTAGCATTATATTACATTTAATTTAGCTTAGAAAAATTTTTTAAACTAACCACAACTTAGTGTATCCACTAAATTTTGTGTATGTATGTAAATGATATCTAATTTCCCTTTTAGCAATGTTTTTTAAAACCTAAGATTGAATAAAAATCCACATTAACATTTTAAGCAACTCTGCCAAATGACTCATTTCAATTGTACCATTACCCCTCTAAAGCTACTATTTTCACATTCCTTGATGTAGCTTCAGAGTTGTTCATCATCCTACTCCTGAAATTATGCAAAAAAAATAACAATTCCCTTCCAACATCCAGAAAGAACAAGAGAAAAAAGGGTAGAGGAACTAGATGTCTGAAGATACAAATAAATAATATTTATAAAGAAACATAGTATATAAACCACTTGAATGTTCAAAAAACAACCAATACTTTTTATGGAATGAAGCAGAGTAGTAATAATAAAACATAATATCCAATAAGCAGGAGAATGTTTAAGATCAACTAATAAGCTCTTATAAATAATTTTTCAGGTTATATAGCAATAAGGAAAAATACTTAATAAGTAAAAAAAAGTCCCCACAAACTCGTACAGACATGTAAAAATCATACATGTGATCTAGGCATGATGGTGCCCACCTATGAACCCAGGATGCTGAGGGAGAAAGATTTCAAGTTTGAGACCAGCCTGGGCAATTTAGCAAGACACTGTCTCAAAAAAAAAAAAAAAAAAAAAACAAGAGTGGGAAATGTAACTCAGTGGCAGATGCTTGCCTAGCATGCATGAGGCCCTGGGTTCCATCCCAGTGCCACAAGAAATAAATGAAATAAAAGTAAAAATCATGCATATGAACATAAATTATGAAAAAAAACAAAAATTTGAAGTTTCTTTTCTGGCATGTTAGGATTCATTTTTATTTAAAATTTCTACTTTCTATTGACTATTCAATAAATGTTTTTATAACGAATGTTATCAGGATCCAAAATAATTATAACTCATTTTAAGTACCAGAGTTTATACATTAGCAAGAAATGACAAGGTGACAGTTTGATTTTATGTTCAATTGATTCTTTGTCCTTTATAAAGCTCTTTAAGTTTATAAGCAACCAAAAGTAAAGATAATGACATTCATGTTATGAAAAGTGCTTAACATTTGTTAAAGCTAAAAAGGACTTTGTTCAGCAGCCGCCCATGAACTTTGAGTAAAAGGAAAACTAAATTTCTGGACTCTGTTTTGCTTTTCACCTTATTTGATCTCACTTCACATCACTCATGCCAAGTTGAGTTTTTTTCCCTCTTCTTTTTCCTTCTTCTCAAGTTCACAGATGTGAAGAAAAAAATATACTGCAGCTCTGTTACAGTCTTCCCCTGTTCTCCCAGCAACACCATGAAATGTAGCTTTCTGGCATGGGTTATAATGAAAGATATGAGTAATATCTAACTATTATCTGTCACCAGCAAGATCACTAGCACTGAGGTGACTCAAGACCAAAAGCTCTGGGTTCAAATTCTCCACATCCACAATATGAAAATAATCTACACACACTCGAGTTCTTCCCTTTTGAAATTGCCTGGTTCTTATGTCTAATATTTTCCAGATGAACTCCCCACCTTTCTCTAAACCCTCAGGGCCATCACCATATTTTAAATCTTTAGTCCAGTTTCAGTCAACAAGACCCACTTTCTCTCAAAATGGCACTCAATGCACAATCTTTTAGGGACTGGGAAAGGGAAACACAGAAGCTTCCCAAATGCCCCATCCTCTAACAGTGCCAACTGTTTGAAGCAAAATGTCTGGAAACAGCACAAGAGTAGATTCTCCAAAACAAAAGGGCTAGTGCTATTTTAACCTCTGACGGAGTGCAAAAGGATGCGGATAACCAACCCCCATACCTTGCCCTTGCTCCTAACTCCCAGAAGAAGTGAGGAAACTGAGGCCCACTGAGGACAAATGTGGAAGAAAAAGCCAGAACTGAAAACAGGCAACTACAACAGCAATACTCTCTCCCATTTTGTGCTCAAAGTTTCCCAAAGACAAGTTAAAGGGAATATTCTTCCTAGTTTAATCTCCCCTACCATGATGTTGCAGACTTTTTCTCGTGTAAGATGGACTTTCTGGGGTGGCCCTAGTAATCCCAGGACCAAAGAACTCAGAGATTTAATCCTTATTACTAAAGAGAGCTAAAGATCTTAGCTCTGTCAGTACCCACCATGTACAGAGAGGGCTCTTCTATGTGTCCCTGTAGGTTAAAAGGAATCACCCAATTTGACTTTTTAAAATTTATGTTTTAATTTAAAAAACCAGAGAGCTAAATACTCTCTGTAAGAGTATATCACAAGAGAAGGGAGTTGTACGGAGTTTTACCCAGAAGCTAGATATAAGAAGCAGTGTAGCAGCATATTAAGAGCTCATGCTGTATAAAATGTAGAATAACTCCCAACCTTTCTATGCCTCCATTTCTTCCTCATTAAAATGAGGTCAGTTATACTACTATTGATGAGATGTGTGACCATCCTTGGCATAGCAACTGGCTCGCTGTAAGAGTTCAATGATATCTCATCATCAGATCCAGCTGAAGTTGGCTAAGTCTCCTCTAGCAAGAAATCAAATGTTAGGGCTTTACTGGCATTTTTGGCACCCCAGGAGTTAAAAACCTTTGTTTGGAAATATATTACAATATTACTAAATGTATCAAAACATAACTGGAAAACTATGCTAGAAAAACACTGAAATAAAAATATACTGTTAAATAGACATTTGAAAACCTAGGCTGAGTGGAATTCAGTGAGGGTGGGTTTCAATCAAGAGTAAATTCAACAAGGGATTGAGCCACCAGAAAAAGCTAAAGAAACCTTAGGATAACCTATTAGAAGCACAATACATAGAATAAAGAAAAAAAATTACATCTGAAGAAACCAGGGGTTCAGAGCGTGAAAGAAAGACTTGAGATAAAAGGGATGATGACAGCTTTCTGTAGGTATTTGAAGGGTTGTATATATTGTATACGGTGCAAAAGACTCAACTCTGTATATCCAGTGGGTCAAAAGTCCCAAGACACAGACTGTTATTTCCTTTCATAAAGAATGTTCTTGAGCTAACTAAAAGGTTCTCCATATGAGAAGAGGAATTGGCACATCACCAGTAGACATATTGGAAACTTCTACAGTCATTCCCTATCTGAACATCTGCAATCCTAATGCCTTGTTTGGACATGAGAAGTAAATGTAAGTGGGAATCGACAGAATGTGGCTTATATGTATCAGAATTCGTCACAAGATAGCAGTAACCCCTCAAGAGAGCAATATGAAGGCTCAAACTTAGTCCACTAATACATACACATCAGTATTCTTATTCCATTTGAGAGGTATTCTAGTTATGATAATTGTAACAAACAATTTTCTTAAAAATAATCACCCAATACTACATTAAGAATGCAAAAGTACAATCTGACGCATTATTTTGAGTAATGATGCTTAGAATTTCGTTTAATCAAAGGCATCATTACTTTTTTACTGTTAGGCTCAGAAAATTAAACATAAAAGAAAAAAAAAACGAGAAATTCTGAAAATCACAGCCACTGGGAAGAAAGTAATTCAACATTTTATTTTCTTTGTTCTGCCTGCCAAAAAAGACAGAGTAGGTTTAGAACTGAAAGGAAAAAAAAGGATTCAAAAGAGTAGAAAAAGAGCTGAAAGACAAGCATGAGAGTTTAGTGGCATCAGTCATCACAAACCTTACTGAAAATCCAAACATGTAAACTCATGTACCTAAATGTATACTGCACAGGCTCTACAACTCTCTTCCTTTTTCTTCACCACTGTGAGCTGGTCAGCAGGAGGGAAGGAGACAAAAGCAGAAGCTCATCTTTCCTTCAGCCTCCGCACTGCCCTCCGCAGCTATCACAATGCAGCACAGGAGAACATTAGTGCTCTTCACCATGGAGACAATTGTAAAGTCAAACCCAGAATTGTGAAATCACTAAATATGAGACACATGTAACAGGCTTTGGAATGGGAGTGAGGGGAGTGGAGATCCAAATTACCAGACAAGAAAGGCAGGTCTTTAGAAGCTCTTGGGAAGCAATTCAGATTCTTAAAATCATTTTATTTCCTTTCAGAAGATGAAGACGATTACTCATTATTTTGAGTTAAATTAATTCTGTTCACAGAAGACATTATACTTGAATTCCAGCCTTCAGACCCTGTGAGAAATGAATGCTCTGTTAAAAGATATACAATCAGGTGTAGATGCCTTCATGATAGAGTGTGGCTTTCACCTGAACTACAGAAAGCACTCTTTGTCCTAGATTACCAAATATTTTGTTGTAACTCTATCCTTCAAGCACTATTAGCTGGGGAAACAAAGACGTAAACAGGGTGTTAAATGTTATCACAAAGGTGTCCATTTATGCTCCAGGAGAAGTGGAAAAGGAGGAGAAGTGGCATCTCTCACAGTCTAAAGGGTCAGGAAAGGCTTTCTGGAGGAGGGGACACCTGCAATGAAGCTGGAAAGGCAAGTGGGTGTTGGCTTCACGAAGAGAGAGGATTCATTCTCTACAGAGGGACACAGAGAAAACCCAGGAGGATTAAGGTAAGAAGCCTGGAGAATGCTGTCATTTCAGGGTTGGCCTGAGGACTTGATGACCAGAAAAAAACCATAGAGACAGAAGAGCTAAGGAGGAAAGCATTTCAAAGCTGGAATGGCTCACAGGGTAAATGGATGCAAGTCAAGTCAGGCAAGAGTGAAAGGCCTAGTCTTAGCTAAACCACAAAGGACCTTGGATGCCCTTTGCCCAAGACATTTCAGGGAAGTGGCAATGACAGAGGCCAGAGCACAGAGGGTTGAACTGCAGGAGGTGAGGAAGTAGAGAGCATGGATAAGGCTACTCACAGAAAGCTTGGCTTAGAACAGGGAGTGAGCTAACAGGAAACACAGGATCAAATTTTATTTTCCAGTCTGAACTTCTGCTCTGAGCTCCAGATTCTCGTATTCTCTTGAATTCTTCCTTTCACCTCACCCCCTACATTCAATTTACACTCTAGCCTCCCCTCCACCCACTCTTCATACAATTGGTCCTTCTTCTTTTAAAATTATAAATCAGACCATTTTACCTCCCACACAAAAGGCACAATAGCTTCCTGCTGCCCTTAGGATAAAATCCAACCCCTGCCATGGTGTGTAAGTTCTTGGATGATCTAGGTCCTACTTTACTCTTTTGCATCTTCTCACCACCTCTCCCTCCTGATTATTATGTACCATCTTGGCCTTCTTTCAGTCCTTAAACCTTCTAAGCACATTTCTGCATTAGAATCCTTGCTTAAGCTATTCCCTCTGCCTAGAAATGCTCCTTTCTTGCTGTCCCACCAAGCAGCCAAAGGACAATTTCCTACAAAGGAGCAGGTCATCATAAAGGTCCTCTTTCACCTGATGCCCAGGGGTTCAATTCAACTCCTTCAGAATCCTGGTTTTCCAGCCTTCCAGGTAGGATATTTTCTGGCTCTCATCAGCCGGGACTTTGATGTCCAAACACATAGGCCCTTGATCATTTTTTTACTGCCTGTTATATGGCCTTTGTCAAGACACTACCTCATCATTTTTCTTAAAAAAGGTAAATGGCATCTACCTCCACTTCTGTTAGAAATCTCACCTCAGAAGGGAGGTAAAGGCCATAGTTCTCACCCACATCTTCCCCAACCTGTGACCCCTCTTCCACCTCAGACATCACTTGCCTTTACCAGTCCTAGGCTCTTCCCAATCCCTGGCATCGAGGCACAAAGAGTGCCTTCTCCATTTCGCCCTGAAGCTGCACAGGTCCTGCTTCACTCTTCCTGGATTCTACTGCTCTTTGAGAATATACTAACACATCCAAATTCATCTCTCATCTAGTAACCATCTATCCTGTAGCCGTATTCACTAGCTCCCTTCCTAGGCCTGGTATATAAAAGCCTCCCACACAGCCATCCATTCTCAATCTCTTACCCCATCCTGCTGCCCAGCATTGACACCCAGAGCAACCTTAGAAACCATGGTTTGAAGACAGCAGAGATCCATCAAACTAGGTCTTCTCTACCCCAGTTGATTGGATTAAAACAAGCATGGAAGTGTCTGCTATTTTAGGCCTCTTAGATTTCAGCAGGGTTTGTCTGTTATAGTAGCTAGTGTTTCTCTATGCAATACAGGCTGAATTTAGACAGCAGGAGAGAAGGAGTAGGAAATGCTGGACACAGCGGCACATGCCTGTAATCCCAGTGACTCAGGAGGCTGAGGCAGAAGAATCACAAATTGGATGCCAGATTCAACAACTCAGTGAGACCCTCAGCTACTCAGTAAGAACCTGTCTTGAAATAAATAAATAAAGATGTAGCTCTGTGGTAAAGTCCCCCCAGGGTTCAATCCCCAGTACCAAAAATTTTAAATATATATATATATATAGAGAGAGAGAGCTAGGATTAGACATGGCTTTATGACAATACCTGTGTTTATATATGTTATATATTACTTATCCTCTTCAAAGAACATTAAAATGTTTTCTCATTTGACACTTCATCATCACTTACTGATGTTATTCTATAAATTATTTACAAAATGAAGAAACAGACTTAGAGATGTAAGTTGCTACTAATTGGAGAAGCCAAAACTGGGCCACAGGACTCCCAACTCAGTCTGTGGTATTTTTGCTACAGCATCTGGTCTCTCAAAGCCACATTTTAGTGCTACATAAGAGAAACTCTTGCCTGAAGTCCAAAAATGCTGGAATGAAACAAGGGTAGGTAGTTTGGGCAGACAGATTTAAAAAAAAAATATGGAGGTCTTTATAATCACCAGACTGTGTAATATAGCTTTCATCCGATAAATAATGAGGAACAAGAATCGACTCCCACTTCCTAGCTCCACAGCTGTAATTGATACCTTTCCACTGTCTTCAAAGACCTTACTGTACCACTCCCCCAGCTATCAGTTGGTGCCAAAAGTTCACTTCACAAAGAAAACAGAAGCTTTTTCGAGAGCAAAACTTCCAACCCCTTACCTTCTATAGAGTTCTCTGTGTCCCCAAGTAGCCTTATCTCTTCCCACACAATCAAATGGAAAAGGCATACCTCCTCTGGCAGTGCTACTGGCCGTCCCTTAAGCATGTCACCTCATCCAAGGCAGATACTTCTCAATCATTTACCTTGAATCTGCTACCTTCTTTTTTTTTTTTCTCAGTGCTAGGGATAAAACATGTTTTCCTTTATTCTGGATCTTTCTTTTCTTGGTCTCTAAATCTTCCTTTCCTTGGTCTCTCATCCTTTCCTCAGGAAGTCCACTGCCCTTTCTTATCCTCATACTTCTTGGCTAGGCTCCTTCAAGAAGCAGCAGCAGTAAACACACATCTCCACTTCATCATCACAATTTTCTTCCATCCACTGTAATGTGGGACACTGAAACAGTCACCTCTAACAATACCTCCTGGGAGCTAAATTTCTGGATAATTTTGAACATTTATCTTATTTTTTATGGCACTTAACACTGCTGATACCCCTCCTCCTAGAAATTTCCCTCTGCCTTGATTTCCATGTCCCCACTCTCCTGATCCTCCTTCTGTGTGTGTCTACGCCTTTTTGGTCTCCTTTTAAGGCTTCTTCCTTCACTTCCCCCTAAATATTGATGTATCCTGAGGTTTTATTCTTTTATACTTCCTCTTACCTTATATATTCAGATCTCTCTGTTTGAAATCACACCTCAAACATAGCTTCAACTGGCAACTGCACACAGGTGACTCCTACACTGATATATCTCCTGTCCAAACCACTCATGTGAGCCCTCCACGTCCTGGCAATGTTTACCTGCTAGTATTTAAACCCAGATTCCATAGGTATCTCAAACTCATCATGGTTAAAACTACAATGAGCACCATATCTATATCTATATCTATCTATCTATCTATATATATATATATATATACCTTATACAGTGATAATGAAAACACTGAGTACTGTATCAATCAGCATTGTCCAGAGAAACAAAACCAATATGAAACACACCAATATGTGTGTGTGTTTGTGCTCATGTGTGTACAAATACACACACACACACACACACACACACACGTACATATACACCCAAAAAAGTTTATGTTAAGGAAATGACTCATGCAATTGTAGGGGCTGACAAATCTGAAATTTGTAGGGCAGGTCAGCAGCTATAAATTCAGGCAAGAATTGGTGTTACAGTCTTAGACTCATCCCCCACTTGAACAGACATCCCTGGAGACAAGGTCTCACCCTGTGACCCAGCATCTTGCACAGACAGGCATGACACACCATAGAAGCTCAGTCAGTTTTGACTTATGGCCACTGTGGCATAAAATGAGATGCTCTTAAATGAAATGGGATGACAGGATGGATGAGGCACTAAATCATGATAGGGAAAAATTAGGACTTGAACAAGGATTATGTTATAAATCAAGACACAGCCCTTGTCAGATTTACATGACCACAACACCTATAATTGACTGAAGACCATCCACACAGATAGAAGCACATCTGTTCCAATAATTTCTTTGAATGTCTCAACATACCTGTGAAATTGACATGGCAAAGAAAAGGTCACATTTTACAAGTACACTGAGATTTTAAAAGAGCAAGGGTCTTGTCTTGGTTGCTAGAGAAAATATCTACAATGAAATATCTTAGTTCTTCAGTGATATATAGGTAAGAGGAATCATGAAAACAACAAAAGATCAAAACCAGAAAAGAATCTTGTAGTTCAAAACCTGCAAAAAATATAAATATCACCTTCAATTTACAAAGAATACATTTTCTTTCAGGACAATTATTGTCCACATTAATATTTGTACTATAATACTATGGCATGTGTTAGATTATCCACATTACATCGATTTTTGTACTGTTTCTGTTTATATACCATGTATCCAGAAGAATTGTTTTGTGAAATAAGAACAGTTATGTGTTAAATTTACATTTCTATAGTGATGACTAAGTATCCCTAGGCACCCAAAACTATCTGGTTTTCTTATTTAGTATTAATAAGCATTAGAATTAGTAAAATATTAATGGTATTTAGTCTAAATACTGTATGTGGAAACACTATGGCATTAACTACAGGGTAGTAGAAACTCTCCATTAGCTATTCCTGCAAAAAAAGTTAAAGTTGACTATCCTCAACTATATTTGCATATATAAGAACTTGACCTTTTCAAATTCTTTTGTATGCAGTCTCATCTAAGTATCATAAAAATGTTATAAATCAGGAAAAATACCTCTCATTTCAAGTGACAGGAAATAGAGGCAAATGCCTAAGTTCATATAATTGAAAAGAGGCAGGGGCTGGGGATGTGGCTCAAGCGGTAAGGTGCTCGCCTGGCATGCGTGCGGCCCAGGTTCGATCCTCAGCACCACATACAAACAAAGATGTTGTGTCTGCCGAGAACTAAAAAAAAAAAATTAAAAAACTCTCTCTCTCTCTCTCTCTCTCTCTCTCTCTCTCTCTCTCACACACACACACACACAAAAAAAGAAGAAAAAGAAAAAAGGCAAAAGTAAGCAAAGACACCAAGGTTTTCTGTCCCCAGACCTATAGTCACTCAACAAATCTATGATGGCTCCCTAGCTACAGGTCAACAGACTATGCTATCAGACCAGAGGAGGACAGTATCTGATTTGCTTTCTATTGCGGTTTAGTGTAACCCCTACAACACTAAAGCCCCTCCAAGAGAATTCATTCTAGTCCTTTGTATGGTAAAATGGGACATATAACATTAACAAATATCTTGGCTTTTCAAATTCTATTAACATTATCAGGAATAAATAGAAAGAAATGTCATCTTTTTTAAACCACATATGTTGATTTTCAAGGAGATCACAAATCTGGGCTAGGCCCCATTTCAGCACAAAAGACAACTTGTGGATTTTCAGCTTCCTGGAAAATTGAAGAATTGAATCGAATGGGAGTGAAAACAGAGCCTTAACACAGGAAAGGAAAAACTGAATGCGAGGTCTTAGGCATAACAATGTCCATTTGTAAGGATGGCCTCATGTTCTAGCCATAATGGGCCTGCCAAGGGAGTGAGGACTCATCCAGAAGAACACACATCAGTGAGAGAGAATTCACTCTATGGCAGGAAGATGCACCTTTGAAGCAGCAGGCCAAGCTCGGGAACCAGGCATACAGAGGCCCGGAGCAGGAAGAGCAACTCTGTGCATGGCTTCACAGGCTTTCTGTCAATTTCTCTATGCTTTGCCATGCTAAGACAAGAGAGACAGGCAGCAGCTATGTCCTTTAGGTTACCATGGCCCCACCCAAAGAGCTCTTGTGCATATCACCAACCATCCCTGACAAAGGTGCTCAGGAATAAGATAGATGAGTATTCAATGGGACTGCCAACTTGGCAGACCATTCCTTTCCCACAAAAGCCTAACTAACATCACTTGGAACTCTATCTTCCCTCAATTTCTAACCTCATATCCAGACTATATACATTCCATTATCATTCTGGTTTTCTGTTTACCACCAGCATATCACTAGACAGTCACATGGTGCATACTGATGTTTTAATAAAAAATGGACCACACTATATGATGACAGTCCCATAAGATAACAATGGAACTGAAAATTCTTACCACCTAGTATTTTTACTGTATTTTTTCCTATGTTTAGATATTTTCCTGTTTTACAACTGCCTATAATATTCAGTACAGTAATATATGGGATAGGTTTGTGCCTCCAAGCAATAGGCTATGTCTGTGTTAGGTTGTACCATCTAGATTTGTGTAAGCACACTGTATCATGTTCATATAATGACAAAATCACCTAACAACTCATTTCTCAGAATGTATCCCTATTGTTAACCAATGAGTGATGAGTCATTACTTCTGGTATCAGATGGACCTGGAGAGCCAAGCTACTAAGAATGATGAACAAAGGCTTACTCCCACCAGTCTCACCTCCTTCAAACCCAGGCAGTTGGCTTCCAGATCCTATGTTCTTAATCACTACAGACGTATTCCCCAAACTTACTTAATTATAAAAGAAGTACCAAATGAGTGTATGTGGAGGAGGGTGTTAAATATATATTCTCAGACTCCTCTCTTTAGAGATTCTAGTTCAGTGGGGCCCGAGATAGATCCTGGAATCTTTATTTTTAACACACCCTCAGATGACTTTCATCACAGTTTAGAAACAGTTCTACATGCCACCAGTATTGCCCACTTGAATTGGGATTCCTTCAGAAGCATAATGAAACTGGGCCAAGATCAACTTATTCCAGACAGACCTGGCAACCATAAATCGTACAGGTCATGCTTTTCCATTTCCTTCAGGCAAAACCCTCAATCCTCTGAGAATCTTACAGACTGGCTGTAATACCTCTCTCCATTGCCAGGACCTCTGACCCCACCTAATTTGCCAAAGAACTGGCCCACCTTCTTTTTCTTTACTCCAAACATCTTGCCATCCTTCTGATGGCTTCTCTGACCACAAGGATGACCCAAACAACACTCTGGTCACTCGGTTATCTGACTTCATCATCTTAGTGTTCTTCGCTGAGTTCATTTCATTTTAGTGGTTCAGGTCTGTGGTGAAATGTAGAAGTCTGCCATGCCCAGTAATTAACTGCTCCAATTCTGAAATCTTCCACTCACATATCCCTCTCTGACCATCACTCCAATACACCCATTCCTTGACTTCATCAACACCACTGGTCCTCTTCTCCTCCTTATTTAGCCTACACCCATCTATCATGTTAATCACTCCTTGAAAAATACTCTGTTTTCTGACCCACTGTCCTTCTGCCAGTCATCCCTAGCAAACCCCAACTCTGGTTCAATCCAAATATATGCCTTTTTTGCTCCTAAAACCAGATGTTCCAATCAGTCCATAGTCTCCCAATAGAGTCCTGAATATTGCCTGGATATCAGAGACACTGTCTTCCTCTTCCTGATATCAATGGTTCATCAAAATTTCTCATTTTTCCTCTGACCTATTCCTACTTATTCTTAGCAGATAATCTCCCCTCTATTTCACAAGGATGACAAGCCACCAGACTGGCACATGCTCATAAGCTATCCCACCAGAAAATTCGACTGTGCCGGTATTCCATCACAAGAACTGCCAAGTCTGTCATGTCTGAACCAGGACCCTGTTCACATGGTTATCTGACGTAAGCACCCTGGTGGTGAGCATTCCTGAAGTAAACAGTATGATGGTGGTATCTTTCTAGTAGAAAAAAATAAAATAGTGTGTCTTTTTTTGTGTGTGTATAATTCTGCTCCTTAGAGTGATCTTGAAAGATAAGGTTTTTTTTTTTCAATTTGCAACTGAAAAAAACAAACAAGTAATTTTTCCAAGGACTAGCAGCTAGAAAGTGGCAAAGAAAATTAAAACAGAGCCTGAAAGCAAACTAACCTATGTGCTTTGACATAATGGCTATTAAGAAAAACTTTCCATAAGTTTTGCTCTTTAAAGCAAGCATTCTTATTTTTTCAAAGTCCCTATACATGCTTAAAAACAAACACGAGGACCCATTAATATCACAGCATATCTCACATTCATTCCTATATTTGTACCAGAAGGCAGTGATAAATAATAGGGATAGTCCAAAGATCAGGTCATGTGCTTTAAAATCCTAACACCACTACATTCTTAGCTATATGCTTTAAAAATGTCCTATCTTGGGCTGGGGATGTGGTTCAGTAATAGAGAGCTTGCCTAGCACATGTGAGGCACTGGGTTCAAACCTCAGCACCACATAAAAATGAAATAAAAATATTGTGTCCACCAACAACTAAAAAATTAATATTTTTAAAAAGTCCTAACTACTCTAAACTCTACTTTCTCAACTCAGAAATAGAAATGGTAATGTAATTATCATCACCACCTTTTGAATTCTCCCAAAGGTTTAGACATAATGTGAGAGTACATTTAATAGTGGATCTGGTATACAGTAAGTCTCAAAAAATGGTTAGCTGCTATAACAATTAATATTCAAAATGTTTGAGCACCTGTAAAAATACTGGATTCTAGGCAGAGCAGTGGGTGCCAGGGCTGTGCCATAACCAACGTAAGGATGTCCCTGTACTCATAAATTTTGTAGTCTGTTGGGAGAGTTAACCACTTAAGGAAAGCAACAAACATATAAATAAAATATTTGGAATTTTTATGAACTTACAAGCAGGAACTGCATGTGTACTAATGGATAATGAAGGATAATCAGGGAAGGCCACTTTGAGGACTAGACACTTTAGCTGAGTGGATGTTTGAAAAGGGTCTTTCTATGACAAGGGTGGGGAGAAGAATGCCAGGCAGAGGGTACACAAAAAAGGAAGAGAATTTGGCATATTCAACAAATTGACAGTACTCAACTTGACAAGCATGGTGACAGTAAGCAGGGGTTGGGAGAGGGAGACGGTGTGGGGGCCTCAAGAGTAAGTGTGGATATGACTCTAAGGAAAGTGAGAAGCCACTAAGCAGGAAGGTGGCACGATCTTACTTTTTAGTAGGATTACTCTGGCTGCCATGAGAGAATGTGCTAGAAAGAAAGAATGAAGCTGGGAAACCAACTAGGAGGTGACAGCCTTCATCCAGCCAAAAGAAGAGGGTGGCTGATTTAGGAAGAAGAGGAATGAAGGATCTGTAATATTCTGGTGGCTAGGCTGACGGGCCATGTGGTGGACTCAACATGGGATAGAGAAAGAGGAAGAAGGAAGGACAACTACATCAACAAATGATATAATGCTATATATACACACAATGGACTTTTATTCAGCCATAAAAAATTAAATTGTGTCATTTTCAGGAAAATGGATAAAACTTGAGAACATTATGTTAAGTGAAATAAGCCAAACTCAGAAAGTCAAGGGTCATACGTTTTCTCTCATATGTGGAAGCTAAAGAGAAAAAAGGAAGAAAAAGGTAGAGTAGAAGGATCTCAAGAAAATTGAAGGGAGATCAATGGAGTAGAGGAAAGGGACCAGTAAAGGGAGGAGAGAAGGGAAAGGGGAAATACTGGGAGATAATATTTGCCAGATCATATTGTTAAATTGTGTGCATATACAAATATATAACAAAAAGTCCCACTATCATGTACAACTATAATGCGCCAATTAAAAAAAAACATGGAAAAAAAGAAAAAAGAAGTAAGGACAACTTTCAGGTACCTGACCTGAACAATGAATGGAGAGAAATGACACTGAGACAGGGAAGGCTGGTGAGGAGACAGATATGAGTGGTCAAGAATGATGAATACAAATTTGAGAGAGAGGTTAAGAGATCAATACTGAACATGTGAAGATTGAGAAAACAGTGAGGCAGCAAGCAGAGACAACAAGAAGGCCTCATAGCTGAAAATACAAGTCTAGAACCAGAGAAAGGGCAGGAGGCAAAGCAGAGGGAGTCAACTGCATCCAGAGGGTATTAACATCCTGGGACTGGATAAGATCAGACAGAATATGAAAGAAGTGAAGGAACTGAAAAAAGAATAAGAAAGCAGGCTGATAATCTAAAACTGAACACGATTAAGCAACCCACACGAAACAGAGTTGCCCAAATACATGTTCAACAAATGCCTACGGAACAAAAATAAATTCCTAACACAATCCCTTTAGGCTTTTAAAAAGAATGAAAATTTCATTTAGTATTTCTACCCTCCCTCACCATTCTTGTATATTTAGAACATAAGGGGAAAAAAAAAAAAAAAAAAAGGTCTTGAAGGTCCCTGGACTAGGATCCTTAAAAACAAAACACCTTTTTTTTTTCCTCTCAAAAACTCACTAAAAGTAGTCCACCTAAAGTTCAAACCTCTAAAAAGCTCACATTATATCTTCTCTGTAAAAATTCTGCCTCAAGATAGTTTTCCCACCCTTATAATTATAAATTATAACTAAAAATTCAATTGTATGTTTTACTACAGATGTTGTTTCATCCTGAAAGATGAAATGTTACTTTCAAACAGTTAAAAGGCACATGAGATGTAAAATGCTCAAAAGGTCAAGGATTTACTTTAAAAGTTAAATTTAAAAAAGTAAGTGTACCTGCTAGCCAGCCAAAAACTGATAAGCAGGGAGATGAAAAGGATAGAACTGCCAAGAAAATAAGTAAATATAACAGCTATTCCCCAAATAAAAACACATTAAACCTATAATTATATCTCTGGGTATCTGCTGACACAAAAAGCCCACTCTGCTTTTGAGGCTTATACTATTACTTAGAACAACCAAGTTGAAATCACAGCTGTAAACATAACTGGGACACCTTATACTTTACAAAGATTCCCAGTGTGACACAGGGGATAATGCATAAAAAAGAAACCCAGTCACATTTGCCAAAAATGTTCTTTCCCTTAATTGTTTAAGTTAAATCAAGACTATAACTCTTTTTAATATAATAAACCTCACTTTGTAAAATAATTCTCAGATATGGAAAGGAGAAAAATGTTGGGACTTTTAAAGAGACTAATGATATAGCTATCTAGACCTGCAGCAAGGTCATATGAATTGATGGACAATGAACATTCATTCATTCAGCAAATAGTAAGTACCTACAAAAGGCCAGGTATAGGTCTGGGCCCTGAAAATACATCAGTGAAAAAAAAAAAATCTCACTTTTCTGGGTTGATGAGGGAGAGAGAGAATAAACCAACAAACAAATAAGTGACTGTAAATAAAGCACAGCAAGAGAGGACAGGGGGTGAGATATATTTTATAGAGCAAGATTACATTTGAGCAGAGACCTGAAGTAGTAAGGGAGTCAATCATGATAATATCCAGTGACCAAAGTTCTCAGCAAAAGGACAAGAAAATGCAAAGGCATTGAGACAGGAGTTGCTTGAAGTTTTAAAGGAACAGCAGAGACATCAGTCTGGCAAGGCTGGAAGTCAGAACCAAGAGGTAGCCTAGTAGGCAACAGAAAGGACTTCAGATTTTAAGATAAGAAGCTGTTAGAGGGCTCCAAGCAGAGAACTGGCACAACCTGACTTACTTTTTTAAAAGGGAACACAAGTTCCTACTCATAAAACCAAGACTCATAATCTATTTATAAGTGAAAGGAGGCAAAGTATACAATAAAATTCTTATAGTCTGATAGCGTTTTTTGCAAGAAAAGAATATGTACACATGGGAACAAAACTAAAAACATAAATATTGTGGTTTTTGAGGTTACAGAGTTTTTCTTACATTTTCGTTTTTCAAGTTTTCTGTCTTAAATATGAATTATTTTGTAACTTTTAATGTTACCTTTAAAAAAAAAACCTACTTCACCATGAGACTGTCCTAGTCTGAAATCTTACTTCAATATATAAAAAACAAAACCAAAAACAACACAGAGAACATTTTTTCCCAAAACTACCACACTTCCCATGCAATGTTTGCCTATCATGAACCACTGCACAAATCGAGTAGCTCAATGTATCAAGGTCACAAAACCAACTTAGTTAATATTTATCATTACATAGTAGCTCTGTCCCCTAAAACAACTTTGATATCATCTTTCCAAGAGAGCAACAAAAAGGCCCTTTTCATTCATTTTCTAAGTCGCTTTGATACTATTTTGCTGCTTTTGGATTTTTCCACTGTACGTCTCTTAGAAACAAATTAAGCCCAAATAAGTTGTTCCAGCTAATGAAGTGCGCTTTTGGCTCTTTCTCCGTGGTTGAGAATTATTCGGCAAAATACCAATTGTTTTAGGACGCATTTTTCTCTTAGTTTTGAAATACTGCAATACTAAGTTACCACAAATAAAGAACCTCAAGATAACAACGTACAAGAACATGTATATAAATGGAAATCGCCGTAATCCATTTTTAAATTGAAAAATGTGTGGATGCCTCATGAATAAACATTTACAAATATATACTAGCGTTCACAGGACATAAATAAAAACACCACCCCGCCCCTGCCCAGTCCATAACAGTTTTTTGCAAGGCAGAAATGCAAACCATGCAACTCAAAATGACTCAAGCTCTCACTTCCACCTGAGCCCCACATCCCACCCACTCCTCAATCACTTCCAACAGGTTTCTCTGAATGAAATCCCAAACTTAACAAGCCGCAAACTCTGCTCACATACCACTCACGGCATCCGGGAACCTGGGATCCACGTGTAGTGTTTTACGTGGGGAACAACAGCCCAGGGTTCAAGATTCTACTGTACCCCGAGTGGTTGGTGCCCCGGCTCAGCTGCCTTCCCTGGCGGAGCTGATGCTCTTTACACCAGAGGCATGGGCTGTCCAGCCCAGCAGCGGGCAGCGACCCACGGGAGTGGAAAC